AAAAAAAAAAAGATTTGATGTTTTTAATATTCTGATTGAAATATTAACATAACCAGTGACACTTCTTTGTTTGATTAGCTAAAAGCCTTTTTTCAAAGTTATTTTTCACACCTGTATTTTTAAATTACTTGATTGATATGCTTTGTCCCCACCCCACTCCAGTAATAAACTTTGATATGATTTGTTGCCACCCAGTAATAAACTGGGTAGGAACAAAAGTTTTATGAGGGAATTTCAGTGACAAAATTTAGATATTTGTACATAGATTTCTTCTACCAATTATGTAATTTTTCCCATTACCTTTCACCATCTTTGAAGCAGCTTCATGATTCCATCCTCCCAGGACTTGCTGTCTTTTTTGGTCATGAACTGGCCTAAGTGTTTTTTACAGACCTCCAGAGAATTGCATTATAAAAAGCTTGGAGAATTCCAGTAACATATCTTTAATCATTTCTATAAGGCAACAGTTCAGAGCTTAATCTAACAATCGGACAATTTTGCTGTTAGACGATTTGGACAACTTTGATGTTACACCTGGTATATATATATATATATATATATATATATATATATATATATATATATATATATAGTCTTAGAGAGCCAGACAAACCTACCAAGGTTTCACCTAAGCAGATCGTCAGGGAAAGCCAGCCTTTTGTATTGAGCACTTTTTTAGTTAGTTGATTACTCGTATCAGAGTTTTTTCTTTAGGCTTTGGACCTGTATGGTGTATGATTATTTTTGGCAGATGTTCATGTTCCTAGCTCTTTCTTTTTTTAAAACATTTTTTCCTTTGAAATTGATTTGAGCATTAGCAAATCTAGAAACTGGTTTTTCAAGACAGTGTAGTTATATATATATATATATATATATATATATATATATATATATATATTTATAAATTTCAGTTAGTTGTGAAAGGAAATAATGTGTTCAAACACCATCTCTTGAAAAATACACAATTTTGTTCCAATGCATTTTGTACCTTTTTTTAATCATTTAACTCAAGTAAGCTAATAAAGCCACTAAGTCATAAGGGGTTACTGAGTGTGAAAGAATAAGAAAAATAAAAAAACCTTATGAAGGAGAGAGAACAATAGAAAAGTATTCAGGAAGACAGTAGATAATGATTGACATTGTATTTAAATTTTTGAAGATCAAAGTTGACTGGAAAACAAGAAGCTGGAAGAGAGTTCTACAGGTGAGAAGTGCATGAAAATAAACTGTTAGCAAAGAACTTACACCTAGCCAATTCAACTGTAAATTGATGAAACCATGTTGCCAATTTCTAGCCAAAAGAGACAATTTGAAAGTTTATCATGACTTTTGGGAAAACATATTTTTGTGATTTATGATGATTGAGGAATAATTGCAAAGTTAAGCCTGTTGCTGATTGGCTGATTATTTTGAGGTTGAGAAGTTACCATGGATGATGTAATACTGATTGGTTGCTTACAGTAACATTGATGGGTGATTATTGGGAGTTTGAAGCTGTTCATTTTGACTGATTTTCTTAATCATTTCACCCCCAAGCAAGGCAATAAAGTCACTAAGATGCAAAAGGGTTACTGAGTGTTAGAGAATATAAGAAAAAATACTATCAAGGAGAGGGAACAATAAAAAACAAGAATTAAGAAGACAGTAGATAACGATTGACATTGCATTTAAATTTTTGAAGATCAATGTTGACTTGGATGCAAGTAGCCAGAAGAGAGTTCCACATGCAAGAAGTGCGAGAGAAGAAACTGTTAGCATAGAACTTACAGTTACATCAAGCAATTTCAACTATCAAATGATGAGATGTTGCTGCCAATTTTGTACTGCGCTTCATAAAATGTTGGTACTGTAGAGGAAAGTTCATTGGAACAATTATCATGAAAATATTTATTGACAAAGCATAGGAAAGCATCTTTATGGCAGTGGAAAAGTGACTAAAACTGAAATGCCAGGTCAAGATCAATAACATTGCAGATTCTTCTTTGGATTTTACCAAGGAACCAATTTTCCAAGCAGCAGATCTAGCTATTGATTCAGTATAATCTTTGCCTTTCATGTCAGTAGAAAACATTAGTCCGAGATGGCACGAGTCACTCTCCTGGTGGTTAGCATCAGCCATGCTAATGGGAAGTAGAAAAGGTTCTCTTGATGGTCAAAGGAGAGCAGTTTCATTTTGGAGGCATTAAAATTAAAAATCCATTCTTTGTCCCATTTAACCACAGATTGTAGATCATTTTTGAGATCAGCTGCAATTTGAAATTATTGTAAAGTAGTTACTAATTCAATGGAGACAGACTACTTTATAATATGAAAGATTATGGAAATATTGTAAGGCTAGAGTTGTTGCTATTATCACTGATTGGGTGATTATCATAAATAGTGCTCTTTTTGACTGAGTGATTAATGTTGTACTCTGTGATTGGTGGATTATTGTAAAGTTCATCTTTTTATGACTTGGTGATTATTGTAAAGTTCATCTCTTTATGATTGGAGGATTAATCTATAGCTATTGTAAAATTGTGAATTTTTTGATTGGGTGATTATTGTAAAGTCACACCCTTTGTGACTGGCTAATTATTGAAAAATCACAAACTTTATGATTGGATGATTATTGTAAAGTTGTGTTCAGTGTGATTGGTTATCGTAATGTGTTAGTTGATTGGGTGATTATCGCAAGACTAAACTTTACAATATTCCTCCAATCATAATGAAATGAACTTTACAATAATCCTTCAGTCATAAAAGAGTACATCTTTACAATAATCCTCCAATCATAATGAGTACAACTTTACAATAATCTTCCAATCATAAAGAGAGCAACTGTACAATAATCTGCCAAGCATAATGGGATGAACTTTACAAAAAATCCTCCAATCGGGAAGAGGCCAACTTTACAATAATCATCCAATGATAAAGAGATTAAGTTTAAAATAATCCTCCAATCATAAAGAGATTAAATTTAAAATAATCCTCCAATCATAAAGAGATGAACTTTATAATAATTACCAAGTCATAAGGAGATGAACTTTACAATAATCCTCCAGTCATAAAGAAATGCAATTTGCAATAATCACCAAGTCATAAAGAGATTAACTTTACAATAATCCTCCAATTACAAAACAGTACAACTTCGCAATAATCCTCCAATCTTAAAGTGTACAACTTTACAATAACCCTCCACTCATAAAACATGAACTTTACAATAATCCTCCAATCACAAAAGAGTACAACTTTACAATAATCCTCCAGTCATAAAGAGTACAAAATTACAATAATCCTCCAATCATAAAGAGATGAACATTACAATAACCCTCCAATCATAAAGAGTACAACTTTACAATAATCCACAAATCATAAAGAGATGAACTATAATCTTCCAGTCATAAAGAGTACAACTTTAAAATAATCCTCCAATCATAAAGAGATGAACTTAACAATAATCATCCAAACATAAATACATGAACTTTACAATAATCCTCCAATCACAAAAGAGTACAACTTTACAATAATCCTCCAGTCATAAAGAGTACTATTTTGCACTAATCCTCCAATCATAAACAGATGAACTTTACAATAACCCTCCAATCCTAAAGAGTACAACTTAAAATAATCCTCCAATCATAAAGTGATGAACTTTACAATAATCCTCCAATCATAAAGTTCATGTCTTTATGTTTGGATGAGTATTGTGAAATTCATCTCTTTATGATTGGAGGATTATTGTTAAACTCATCACTTTATGATTGGAGGATTATTTAAATTTCATCTCTTTATGACTTGGTCATTATTGCATTGATGTTGCTGTTTCTAATGTTTATGCTCTCATATTCATTGTGAAGTTAGTTCTTATCATATTTTAATTCTGTCCATATTTAATAGAATATTTTAAATAAATGTAATTTCTCAGGATTGTTTTTAATTGGATCTGTTTCTAAAACAATGTGAACTTTGTGATGAAAAGCAAAAAGAAAATGGAAACAAAAAACACTACGTTATTATTTATGCTCTAACTACGAAGAGACTCAGAAGAATGGAAACTACAAGAACGGAGATTTTTAGTTGTTGCATACTCCAGTCTTCTTCAGGTGATATAAATTGGAATTTCAAACTGGACCCTTTATTTTGCCCACAAAGTTAAATTGTTCTAGTTCCACATGTTTCGCTAGTTTTCAGTTATTTCCATTTAGTAACCCAGGTCTCCAAGTTTTTGTTCACCTCTGCTGTTGCTAGATATTGAACTCACAATTCTTTGGATCATTTCACTTTCTGGATTACTTCAGCCAACACTTTTATCCACTGAGCCATGTGTCCTCGGAGAAAATTTACTCGCATGGAATACATAAACTTTTTGGTTTGAAATTCCAACATATGTCACCTGAAGAAGGCTGGAGCATACAATGGACAAAACATTGTGAATATGACAATAAAGATGAGGACAACAACCTGAACAATGTAAATAGTTTAAATAGTCACAGTAGTGAGTACTGGGTGTACCTTAGTACTGAATTGATCAGAGAGACAAACTTTCTAAGTATGACTCTACAGTAGGAGCTTCTTTCTGTCAGAATTCTTAAAAGATATTGCAATTTAAAACATGATTTGTAAATACAGTTGTATTCTGATAATGTTTAAATCCTCATGTCAGTTTGTAAAATATTTTGTTGCCTTTCTGCTGCAAAATGATGATAGATTTCAGGCACCAAAATCTGTTCACTAGCAGAGTTGTATTATTTTATTTCCGGATGTTCAAATATTGGCTTACTGTAGCAAAAGTCAATAAAGTGTAGAGTTAGACAGCCATACAATTGGATAAAACAAGATGGCTGCTGATACCATGACAACAGAGAAGAGGAAGAATTAAGCATCAGTTGACACAAATTGGATACACATTTGTGCAGAGCTGGGATAGAAATTTCTACAATCTATTTGGAAAATTGTTAAAAAAAAAAAATCAATTCTAAATTGCACTATTTTACTTCACTTTCAAATTAGTGAAGAGAATGACATCTATGCTGCTGCTAAGTAATGGAAAAAGAATAAAAGTGGGGCTCTGGAAATACCTTTCTTTATTTCTTTTAGATGATTTACTCATTTACTTTAACCTGAAATTGAAATATCTTAAAGTATTTCCTTCATCTTAAATCCTAATTCATTATTTGACAGCAGAAAGCAACAGAAATGGCCATGATCTAGAAACGGATATCTAAGATAAATACTTTTATAAGAGATATTTTAACATATCTTTTATTAAGCAAAGTTGAAGATAAAAAAAAATTACAAAACTTGGAAATATTATAAATCATTGTAAAGAGTTTATCTTCTTTTAATTTGGAGGAATATGATTTTCGATATATAAGGATTTAGCTTATTTTTCCTGCTCACAGAACAGAAAGTAAATGTATTTGGCTGAGATAATCTTTATTAGATCAGAATGCAAAATATCCTGTTTGTTCTGACACATTTGAAGAAAATAGAAATATTTCTTCCTTTGGATACAAAAGAATTAGATATGGAACAAAAAGTACGAAGCAAAACAGAACAGATCCTGATTGTTATACTAGGAAGTATAAAAAATATTTTAATTTTCTTACAGTACTTTTCTATAAAACTTATTTCATAGAAAAATCAATGTAGAATGCATGCCATCTCAGTTTATTTTTTATTTTTTAAAAAATGATCAGTGGAAAATGTCATTAGATGAAACTGGCTGCTGAAAATTTGAATCAACACAAAGATGACATAAAATGTGGTAAACTTAACAACTATTTTAGTCAAACTGCTGCTCAGTCAGTTTTGCTCCCAGCATTCCCTAGCATGACAGGAAGTGCTTACAATCATCACAATCATAATCAACATTATTGATGTTGTTATAACCAAGATTCTTTGGCCTAATCTTGCATCTGTGTATGTTAGTTCTGATTTCATCTATATATTTTCTCTTTGGTGAGCCTTGATGTCTTCTGCCACATAAAAATCTCTATATAAAAGGTGTCTAGAAATACAGTTTTGCTTCATGTGCATAATGTGGCAAGTCCATTGGATTTATACCTTGATAAGCATTAATTTTAATGTGATGTCGGTCCATTCTGAATAATCCAAAATTTCAAAATTGTTAATTATGATTCTTTAAAATGTAAGGTAGAGGAGAACTTGACCATCAACACAGGTAAATTAAAGAAAAGCCTAGGCTCGTTAAAGTACGACATTTTTAGAATATTATAGGAACTTCAAAAATATACAGGAGATTAATGAACAAAAAATATTTTTGATATATCCTAAATGAATCCAATCTTGACTAAATTTACAATGACTACTTTTTTATAGTGGTGAAGATGTTATAAATCTTATTTCTTTCTTTTCTGTATAAAAAAACAAACAAAATTTTCTCCTTTTACATTCTTGTAAAAGCCTGTTTTTCGTCACCATAAAGAATAACAAAAAACTTCCAAGACAAATAAATCTTTAATTAATTGAGTGTGAATACTGAAAATGAATGCTTTTATTTTCTTTTAAAATTGGTAATTTCATGAAATATGATTAGAAAGAAAAAATAACTTTTTGTGAACTTAAAAAAAATATTAAAAATTCTGAAAAAGTCATTTTAACCCTTTGATCCCTGCGTACCTGAAAAATTTTAACCCTTCTGCCTGAGCTCCTGAGTCAAGATTTTCAAATAATTGGTATGTAATATTTCACAGTAGATATAAAAATAGTAACAAAATATATTACTTTCTGATTGCTTCTCTGACGGTCCAGGTTGAGACTCTGAATGCTTCATGATAAAAACAATGTTTTTTATCCAAAACACGTGCACAAAACACAATGAAAATGTGCAGACATTTTAGAATAATGTTCGATGACATCAGAATATTATGGCTTTCCTGATTGGCTCTTCAAAATAAGACAACCAATAGCAAAACACAATGTAAATATTTAACCACCATTCAACCGGTGGCTGGGCATTATGTCATTTTTCTCTACCACTGGTAAAGTGGTGGTCAGGGCACAAAGGGTTAATAAAATATCCGAAATAAAAAATTAGATGCTTTTTTTGTATATTATTTTTAAATAAAAAATGTATTTCTTACAAATGTATGCAGTTCCTAAATTAGGAAAACAAATATGGAATCCTATTCAAGTCCCCAAACCTTTCCAAACAGACATTATGGTTCATGTGTACATCTTTCACTATTAATATTTCATTACAATTTGACTTGATTTTATTAATGTTACTTCTCATTCCATCATACTAGATCAATACTCTTTATTATTATTCCTATTATTTTATTATTATTAATTTTACTTCATCTTATTATTGTTGCTTTCCCTTCTAAAACTTTAGATAGATATATTCTTCATTATTACTGATATGTTTGTTATGAATAATCAAGAGTGGTTTCCCCTTGTTTTGTTACTCTCCTCTTTGAGAGAGCTATTTCTGTTTACTGAGACTATACGCAAATCTTGTATTCTCAGTTGAATAAAGCTTTCTTAAAGCCTACACCTGCATACTTTTGTCATTACAATGTTATTACTAGTTTTATTGGTAACAATTCACAATAGCACCCCAAACCACTGTGCATGTATATTTTGGATGCTTGTTCATTTATGACTGAATTGTTTTATAAAAATATAAAGTTGTAAGAAAAATTTACAGAAATTTAAAAAGAATTTTAACTGGAGTTTAATTTTTTAAAATCTTAAATTAAAATTTGAATGCTTTGTATTTAAATTTTTAAAAGAGAAAGCAAATTTATTACAATGTTTCAGCCGTTGTATACTCCACCCTTCTTCAGGTGGTTGGAATGTTGAACTGAACCCTTTATTTTGCTTACTGGAGTAGACTGTTCTAGTTCCACATGCCATGTTTAATGGATGTCAGTTATCTCCTGTTAATTCCCCTCTCCAAGTTCTCCACTGCCTTAACCAGGTATTGAACTCATACTCTTTGGGTCCTGTCACTGGATTTAACTAATGCCTTTATTTTCAAGTCGCTTAAACTCCTGCCCTGTATTAGAAAATAAAATTTGACTCTTGTTTCATTTCAAATGTTTTAATTACGTTTTTTTTTTAATTACATTTTTTTTTAATTATGTTTTTTTATAAAATATTCTGTAGACTTTAGGATTATGAAGAAATTGTTGATAATCTTTTTAAAAATATTTATTTTTATCTATTTAATTATTAATGATTTTCCTAATATTTGAAATTAAATCATCTATCATTATGGACAATTCTAATATTTTTTATTTTGTTGTGTATTTATTTGAAGTGGGGCATTATTCTAAATTTTTACCATTTTATCATTACTTATTGTTATTTTCCTAGAGTTTAAAAATTGTGAAATTAGTCATAAAATACAGCCTCTAAGAAGGCTTGAACTTGCAACACTCAAGCAAAGCATAAAAATATAAGGATGTCTCTTCAGGATGTAAGTAATCTCAATAACTTTCTTTTCCTTAGAATCAAAGAATGTTTACATGTGTAGCTTCCCATTACTTTTTCTACAGTTTTGAATTCAGACTATGTTCTTTCTCTTAAACTAGAGCCATTCTACACTTGCTATTTAACCTATAACTAGGGAGAAGTAAAGATAGATTCATTCCTTTATGAAATGTGAATGCAGGAGATGACAATGGGATTTGAACTTGGTATGCCAATTCCACTTTCTGCACTGCTAACCATTACAGAACCTTCACATATTTTTGTTTTCATTACATAGTGTATAAATAGTGTTTCTTTTCTTATCTGTTCATCACTCTGCAGGTTGGAGTCAAGAATACACCTTCTGCATTCTTGTGCAGAGGGGTAAACACCATCCAAAAAAGAGGCCACCTGTTTACTCTACCTGGGTGGATGTTTTTGACACTTGTGCAAACCAAACTTCTGTTTAATTTTTTGACCCTCAAATGAACCAAACGACTATCTATCCATCCTAGTCCAATAATATCTATCTATCTACCTCAGTCTGTTCATATCTATCTATCTATCTATCTATCTATCTATCTATCTATCTATCTATCTATCTATCTCAGTCTGTTCATATCTATCTATCTCATCTGTTCATATCTATCTATCTATCTATCTATCTATCTATCTATCTATCTATCTATCTCAGTCTGTTCATATCTATCTCAGTCTATCTATCTATCTATCTATCTATCAGTCTGTCTCTATCTATCATCTATCTATCTATCTATTCATATCTATCTATCTATCTGTCTATCTATCTCATCTGTTCATCTATTCTATCTATCTATCTATCTATCTATCTTTTGTGGACTTGTTAGGGGCAGAAATAAAGACACAGAGAGAGGAATTGAGTTAAACAAATATATCAACAGAAACAGTAATACAAACATATACAAATGAGAGTGTTACAGCACTGCCCCTATTTATAGCTGGGAGTATCCATGTATGTGTGGGTACATTACCATAACACTATCTATCTATCTAAATCTGTTCATATCTATCTATCTATCTATCTATCTATCTATCTATCTATCTATCTATCTATCTATCTGCCTGTCTGTCTATCTATCTCAGTCTGTTCATATCTATCTATCTATCTATCTATCTATCTATCTATCTATCTATCTCAGTTAATATTTATCTGTATACCTTGTATAGTTTTTGCTTCTTTCTTATTCATCCAAGTAAATATTTCTAGAATTAAGATTTATTTTCCAGTGTTGAAGATCTCCTGATTTTGATTGACTAAATTTATTGATTTGATCAGCAAAATTATTGAAAGTAAGATAAACAGGAAAGTAAGATTGTAACACTTTCCCCGACTCTAACAAGATAATTTCTCGCTTGCTTGCCTGCTTATAAAATTCCTTCTTATGCCACTTTTGGTAAAAAACATCACTTTCAGTTCAAAATGGCATGAATTATTGGATACACTGAATTGCATTTGCCAATAATTGCTGATAATGATGATGGTGTGTGTGTGTGTGAGAGAGAGAGAGAGAGAGAGAGAGAGAGAGAGTGTGTGTGTGTGTGTGTGGTAAAAAATAAAAGAACTTTCAATTCAAAATGCCATAAATCTTGGCAATGGAGAATGACCTTTTTATTTACTCTGTTGTATCCACAGGCTGTGCAGTTAGCGTAAATCAGTGCAGAAAGTGGAATTGGGGAGCTGAGTTCAAGTTCTGTCCTAGTGAGTTGCATTCACTTTCTCCACACACCAGCTTTAAATCATATTTAGTAAGACACCTTTACAGCAAAGAAAGGCTCAGTTATCCTACTTGCTTTGCTGTGGTGGCTTATTGTAGCTTAATGGTAAAACTTGCCTGGTTTCTCAGATTAAAAAGGGAATACAGCAATTCCTGTCAAGAGGCACATTTTCTTTCATAAGACTTTCAATCTTCAGTCCAGTAGCCATTAATTTCCCTGATTCAAAAATGGAAGGATATCCAGGCAAATATGTGTAATCACTAAATATGGCATTTACAAATAACATTGGAGAAAAAAAAACAACTAATTTCTATCTTAATAAACATCCTCAAACAAGAAAGCTTATTGTAAAGTGATGTAAGTTATGGTTAACAAGCCAATATTGCAGGGTATTATTAGTTTGCTTTATCCTTACCGGATCTTTAGCCCATGTCTGTCTGGTATAAGGCCACAGATATATTGCACCCAATGTGGACTGGGAGCATTATAATAGCAAATTCGTTAACATGACAACTTTACAAAGTGTTGTCTGAAATTGCATTTATGAAGAAAGTCCTGATTGAAAATGGATACCTGCTGGATATTGTGCTGGTTAGCATTTGAGAAAAAATGAGACAATTTGGTAAGTGTAAGCTGATTGTCCGCTGCCCCAAGGTTTCATCTATTCTTGTATACCATTGATTGTTGATGTGAGTACAAAGTTTGCTAGGCAGATTTCTGTGGGTGTGAAAAAAATGTTATCAGTCTTCCAATTGATGTGTTATCTTTGTTATCTGACCAATGTTGAGATCAATCCAGTTGATTTACCAACACAAATGTCAGCATTATACTATTTATGTAAAATAGGTCAAAGGTTGGAAGCACACATCAAACAACAAAACCTAACCCTAACAGACAATATTTGCAATAAGCAAGGGGGAGAGTTTACTTAGGTGTGTGAATACTACATTTTAGAAAGTTTAAATTTTTAATAAGTTTGCTTTCATTGTATGAGAAGTAGCAGTAGCTTCATATATTAACTTATATGACATCTTATATATTATGTGATATTAACTTATATGACATCTTATATGATATGATATGATATTAACTTATATGATATGATATTATGTGATATAAATTTATATGACATCTTATATAATATGATATGATATTAACTTATATGACATCTTATATATTATGTGATATTAACTTATATGATATATGATATTATATGATATTAACTTATATGACATCTTATATATGTGATATTAACTTATATGACATCTTATATGATATGTGATATTAACTTATATGACATCTTATATGATATTATGTGATATAAACTTATATGATATCTTATATGATATTATGTGATATTAACTTATATGACATCTTATATTATGTGATATTAACTTATATGACATCTTATATAATATTATATATTAACTTATATGACATCTTATATGATATTATGTGATATTAACTTATATGACATCTTATATAATATTATGATATAAACAGATATGACATCTTATATAATATTATATGATATTAACTTATATGACATCTTATATGATATTATGTGATATTAACTTATATGACATCTTATATGATATGTGATATAAACTTATATGACATCTTATATGATATTATGTGATATTAACTTATATGACATCTTATATGATATGGTGTGATATTAACTTATATGACATGATATTATGTGATATAAATTTATATGACATCTTATATGATATGATGTGATATTTACTTATATGGCATCTTATATGATATTATGTGATATTAACTTATATGACATCTTATATGATATTATATAATATCAATTTCATATTTGCCTTTCATTGTATGTATAGTAGCAGTAGTAGTAGTGGTAGGAATTACCCTGTAACTGTTATAGTTTTTTTATAAAACATTTGGTTTTTGTTGTTTATTTTTAGTCACAGTGCCCATTTTTGTCCTCAATTTAGCTCTGATAAGAGAGGACTGATAAATCAGTTTACCTGTGTTTTTTGTTAAACATGGTGTATTGAAATATTACCATTTTGTGGCATCCATTTTTGTTACCCCACTTTTTTGTTATTAATTTTTCTTCTTGCTTCAGTATGTCTGTTTTTATGGCTTTAATAAAATTTTGTACTCCTGCAAAAATATTTCAAACTATTGCCTTAAGTTTTCAAAATCTGAACAACTGTTGGGATTAATGTTGTACAGACACTTGCTGCTACCTTTTATGAGCAGCATACTTTGTGAGATCACTGTATGTATATCTAACAACTTTAACAACTTTGAGTAAATTTTTTAAAAAATTATTTTTATTTTCATGTCAAGCCAAATTTTGCTTAGGGCACCTAGTGAGGATCAAAGTCATTACTCTATTATAATGGCTTCACAAACTGTTAAACTATATTGAGGCACCTGATAAAAATTAGGTGTTATAAGGTGTTTTCATTGTAGATTGTGTCGCCTAAATAATGATTCTTCTCTTTCATAAGACATATTCATTCAGGATATAGGCGATCATTGCTCTCCACATCTTCTTGGTATTTGTTTTCTTTAAGTTACTATTGTCCTATTTCTACTCTATATTCTCTCCGTAGCTTTTCTGTATATTGAATATTGCCGCCATAATCTAGTTTGATGATCCTGCTATTTATCTTGAGACACTTGACAAATTCCAAAGAAGATTCTGTAATGTTATTGGTTCTAACCTGGCATCTCAACTTCATTCACTTTCTCACTGTCATGATGTGGCTTCCATCTGCCTTTTCTATATTTTCATAGCAATTTTAAATTAACTACTAGATTGCCAATTAGGTCTCAGTTTAACTCTTTTCTCACACTTCTCACCTGTGGAAACTCCTTCTGATTTCTTGTTTCCCTGCCATCTAGAATCTTCAAAAATTTAAATTCAATGTGATCCATCATCTTCTGTCTTGAATTCTGTCCTTTTAGTATTTCTCCCCAGTAAAGTCTTAATGGCTTTCCTGCTTTGCTTAGGATGAAATAATAAAAAAAATGGACTCTTCACAATGCACTGTTTCTCTCTGCTTCTCTTGCCTTTACTATGCCCTAAGAGTTAATTTCTCCAAGTCTTCTTTCCTCAGTACATATCCCAGGCATTTTAACTACCTCTTTTTGATTGTTAGTATGACTTTCCTTGTATATGCTGCTTTCCTTAAAACATTTTTATTACTCACATACTCTATGGTATTCACAGCATTTTTCAGTATAAACACATCCCTGTTGCATCTAGACTCTTCTTCATATGAAATGCGATATTCTCTGCAATATAGGAGAGTAGCTATTACATAGCAGTTCGGCACTCTCTGTTTCTAAGTACATTTTTATCTCTTAATAATTTGATTAGCTTCTGAATCAGACCAAGATGAAAGATATCATAGAAGTGATTAGGTAACAAAAATTGGGGCATGTTAGACAAGAAAGGATATCAGATGAAGCTTAAGGTTGCTTGATTGATGCTTGATGCATAACAAACAGAATCAGAAAAGACCAGGGAGAAATTGAAGAGATAAAGAGTTGGTTTTTCTGCATCTGCATAAAAACTTTTGGAATCTTGTACCAATAGGGTATGATCAGTGGCATAGCTAGAGTGGGTGCTGTACAAAGGAGTGAGGAGATGGCAAATTAGCGAGCTTTGGACGGACAGTGAATCAGGCAGCACTTCATGCTGAGGTGGTGGTGTTGCTTGTAGCCATTTTTATTGGCTGGTTCTGGGTACTCATTGACTGAGCAATGGCTGGGTCAGGTGTATAAAAGCATGGTACAATTATTCAACAGTAGTTCACTTTTCACTTCTGATGAGGAGTAGCATATTGGAGATCGAGATGAGGAGAGAAGAGTGGATTTGTTTTGCCTAGTGAACCTATTGGACTCGTACTACCTTTTTTTCCCCTCCACTTTTTTTTACTGTGTGTGTGCATCCAACCAATTTTTGCACAGACTGTATAAGTCTCACTGTATCCTATAATAGATAGGAAAATAGATATGCAATAGTTTAAGTGACTCAAAATCAAAAAATCCCTTTAACAGTGAGTACTGTTCCAATATTAAAACCACTATACAGGCCTTTTAGTCTATATCAGACACAAAAGTGCCATCCCCATAAAAGTGTCACCTCCATAAAAATGCCACTTGGAGCGAACCTCCCCTTCTATGCCCCTGGGTATGATGCCATCACAGTCATCAATCAATAGTTTACCTTCTCACAATGGTTTGGTATTGCCTTCTCTATAGTTTTGAATTCAGATTTGTCTTTCTCCTAGACTGGTTGTCACCCAAAACTAGAGAGCACACTATAACCTGCTATTTAACCTAAAGCTGGGGGGAGGGGAACAAAGATTGAGTCATGCCTTTCCCAAAGGCATTAGTACATGAACAGAATTTAAACTTGCCTCACTAATTCCATT